ACCATCCAGAATTTATATGGAATCCAGATTTTGCGGTACGATTTCGTTTCATTAGCACAATAAAACTTTTCGTATATCTCTGACAAAAATTATCATCAAATACCCAGACCGTTATCAGAATTGGTATCCCATGTAATCGCACACATATGGTGCAACAATCAGATGAACAGGAACGTTTCGGCTCATTAAGACGTAAAATAAGTTTATAATTTTTCCAGGCTACTTTAACACTGCTAGCTGAACCATGGAGCCAGGTGTCTGGAAACATAACTGATTATATTGGAGCAAGATTATCACTGATTACGCGCAATCGTTCATTCAATCTACGTGGAGTATCGCCAGTACCCGGTCCTTCGAATATAATTTTGGAAATTTTTGCAACCGGATATTTCCGGGATCGTCTGTACAGCACCATTGCTGAGCAAATGGAGCAGCATATGAACCCGCTTTTTTCCTCTTCGCCTTTTGTTGTTAACTTAGGCTTAGACGGTTATCTTTATGCAGACATAGAATGCTCGATTAGCATATACGATTCACTTCTTAACAAATATGTTGGTCCAAAGTTAACGCGTCCGAGAAATCCCGAATTAACCATGAGCCCGATGCCACTGCTTTCTTCGGAACATTCGGAAGAAACGACCACATCGAAAACTGATCATCTCAGCTACAACGAACAGCTGGTTCCATCTACTCATCAACCTTTCTTGTAAAAGAGCAAGAAGCAGTTCTAAGTATAGAGAAGTTGAAAAAGAAGAAGGGGCGCTGCCATGCCGGGCCTTCAAAAGACTCTACCGAAATAAGGAAATAACAGGAAAAAAATTTTTTTATTCAGACTAGTTTTGCCACTTTTTCATCAAATCTATGATCAAAAAATTCGTGACTAAATTATTCAATCTTTGGTGTTGAGAAAACGGATTGGGGAAAAATTATTTATAACAAATAGAAATTTTTTATTAGGATCTGTTTATAATGGCCGTGTTTGGCGTGTGGGAGTACTCTGGTAACATCGCTAACAGAGGACACCCACACTGATAAATCGAGCAGTCTTGGTATTCCTGGTATTTGTAGTAAAAACAGCAAAAAGACTGAAAAATTTCTGTTGATTTTTTACTGCTTTTAAGTTTATAAGAATTTATCCGAAACTGCTTTCCAGCCTTAATTTCTCTTTTGCAAATGTGTATGTACCAGTAGGAGATCAAACCATTCGTCTTCACGTGCCAGACGTAGCACAGCGGCTTTTGGCGGCGCATCTGAGATATCGCTGTGTTTTTGTTTGTTTTAAGAATCTACCTCTTCTCCCTTCGATATTCACTAACTGATTATACTTCGTCTATTTCTTTGTGTATTTTAGGATGTTTTTGTTTTCGGCATATTTGCCAAAAATTAGTATAAAATTCTAGAATTGTTGCAGGAACTTGTCAACACCTTATTCAAAATATTGATGCAACAAAAAACAACTGAAGCACAAATCGAGCAAAAAACGCTGGGAACTCAGCAATGAGATTTCAAAAAAAGCGCACAAAATTTGTTTTAAGGCTCAAAAAAAGGATCTCAGAAAAAAAGGAGGTATAACAAGCGCGAAAGTGACCAGTGGACTAATGACCAAGTGTTCCAGCATAGATTGCGGTAGCCAGAGCAGAACTACTAGCCGCACTGCTTGCGCTTAACCGCGCTAAAGTGATGTGGAATGTGTCTAGAGCAGCAAGTGCGATGTGTCTAGAACAAAAGGAGTAGTTTCCTCAGTCAGGATTTAAGCTTTAACCCCAACAATTATCACGAATCCATCAACAAGCTCGAATAAATTCTCAAAAAAAGGGAAAATCGATGAATATTCAAGAAAGCAGCGTTCAAATTATCATCTGTTGCCAATACTATCATACCAGCACTGGCCATTGATATTAACGCCTGCTGGACAAGATCCATCTATGCTTGCCGGACCAAGATCTAAATATAGAATTCTTTTAAATGGTACCTTCTGCCAGAGTTACAATGCCTTTTCAAACCCACTTCTTCAGATCCTTGAAATGCTGCTTTGCCTCATTTATGGATATTCTCTACTGTACAATGAGAAAGACAGTGTTGTTACTTCCTGCAAGATTTATACTAATGATAATAATAATGGTAATAATAATACTATTAATAATAATGGTAATAAAAATAGGCCCACTCGGCGCTAAAATCAGTAATGGCAATCAAAGTAATAACATAGGTGATAACAATGACAACAGTTGCAAATGGTAATAATGATTTTAAGAGCAAAAAATAATATTAACGATTATAACATCAAAAACACTCGTATAATAAAAAATTATCCTTCGAAAAAATTATCAAAAGGCTATAACTTACATCTGGTAAAATATCCGAAGTATCCAAGTCCAGGGCCACCCAATCCACCAATACCACCCAATCCAGCAAGCGCACCCAGTCCACCAAGTCCACGCAGTCTACCGAGGCCAATTAAACCACCAATTCCACTCAGACCGTCAAGACCGGCCGAATTACCAACTTGCACCGGAACTGGGATCGGTACGAGAATATTGATCGAGGTTCTGCTGTCTCCAGATGGTAAAATGCA